GTAAGGGGCACAACACCATCTCAGTGCCCCAGTCAACCTCACCTGCTCGTGGTACATCCTGCTGACTAACGGACGAGGCTCTGGCGACCGACACATGGCGGAATAACCATGCTAAGTAGGCGTAGCAAAATTTCAGACTAGTGACGGGGAGCAGCGTCACTAGTGCGAGGAGCTACGCCCTGCGATCACCAACCCGCCTGCCCAGCGTGGTGATTATGGGCATTACCTTATATGGCACGGCATTTCAAAAAACGGCCCCTAGTTCCCGGTCGTCCCGCTATTCCTGGCCAAGTCGGCGGCCATGGTAACGGCGGGACAGGGGGTGCTAAGAATCCCCGGGCTACGAAAGGCCGACAACACCAACTGACCCTGGCTACGTACAACGGACGCACGCTACGGCTCGAAGAACACCTGGCTCAGCTCGAGGTGGAACTGGGGAGCATGAGGTGGCATATTCTGGGGCTGTCTGAAGTCCGAAGACAGGGGGAGGACACAGTGACCTTGAAGTCTGGCCATCTCATGTATTTTAGGGAAGGGGACCAACCATCTCAAGGCGGCGTCGGGTTTTTGGTCCACAAATCCCTCTCAGACAGCGTCTTGGAGATCTCCAGCGTGTCGACTAGGGTAGCGTACCTTGTGATAAAACTTACTAAGAGGTATAACCTAAAAGTCATCCAAGTGTACGCCCCTACCTCGACATATATGGACGAAGAAGTAGAGGAAATGTACGAGGACATTTCTAGGGCCTTGCATACCACCCAAAAGGCCCACTTCAACGTTGTCATGGGGGAATTTAACGCAAAAGTGGGAGTACATATTAGCGGCGAATCGGTAATAGGACCACACGGGTTTGGTAGCAGGAACCATAGGGGGCAAATGCTCGTCAACTTCCTGTAGAAGGAGGGGCTATTCTTGATGAACTCCTTCTTTAAGAAGCAGCCTCAACGGAAGTGGACGTGGCGGAGCCCCGACACTATGACTAAAAATGAGATAGACTTCATTATGACGGACAAAAAGCGAATATTTAGAGATGTCTCTGTGATCAATAAGTTCAACACAGGAAGTGATCACCGACTGGTACGAGGCACTCTAAACATCGAACACAAATTCGAGCGTGCCCGTCTTATGAAGTCTACGCTCCGACCTAATTTGCTCGGGACGAAAATGTGGCGGGCGCAAAATACCGGCAGGAGGGCGGGGCTTTCGGGGGAGTCTCTGCAGCTGATGAAGAGGCGCCGTGAAAACCCAGCAGTCGCTTCGTCGGATCTTAATAGAAAAATCTCGAAGCAGGTAAGACGTGACCTTCGGTGCTCCAACACACGCGCTATAAAAGAAGCGATCGAGCGAAATCGGGGGTCAAAAGTTTTCATCCAGCAACTAGGTCGAAGCCATCTGACGAAGCTGACTACATCTGAGGGAAAAGTCGTCGCTTCTGGGCCGGAGATTCATGCGGAGGTTCAGCGCTTCTACGGTGATCTATATGCGTCACAAGCACCCCAACCTCAATCATACTCGAGGGATCCCAGGGCCACACTTGTCCGCCACTTCACTGAAGAGCTGCCAAAGGTCAGCCAAGACGAAATCGGGGTGGCTTTGGGGCAGCTTAAAAATGGAAAAGCCCCAGGTGAGGACGGAATTACGACGGAGCTCCTTAAGGCAGGGGGAAAACCGATTCTCGAGCGGCTCCAAAGTATATTTAATTTCGTCCTCTTCACGGGGAGAACTCCTAGGGTGTGGAGCAGAAGCATTGTCGTTATGTTCTTCAAAAAGGGAGATAAAACCCTTTTGAAGAACTATCGTCCTATTTCTCTTTTGAGCCACATCTATAAGCTGTTTTCCAGGATCATCACGAATCGTCTAGCACGAAGGCTTGATGAGTTTCAGCCCCCCGAGCAGGCTGGGTTCCGAGGAGGATATGGCACCATGGACCACATTTACACGATAAGGCAGATTATACAGAAGACCGAGGAGTATAATCGGCCTCTATGCTTGGCGTTCGTGGACTATGAGAAGGCCTTTGACTCTATCGAGATCTGGTCTGTTCTGGAGTCCTTACAACGGTGCCAAGTCGACTGGCGATATATCCAAGTGCTGAGAGAACTGTACGAAGCTGCGACTATGGCCGTCCAAGTACAAAATCAGCAGTCTGAACCTATTCACCTGCATCGAGGAGTGAGACAAGGGGATGTTATATCCCCCAAATTGTTCACAAATGCTATGGAGGATATGTTCAAGACACTGCATTGGAAAGGACGGGGCATAAACATAAACGGCAAGTATCTCTCACACTTGAGATTTGCAGATGATATCGTCATCGTGGCTGAAACCGTTCAGGACTTGCAATATATGCTGTGCAGCCTGGCTGATGCTTCCGCGCGCATTGGGCTCCGGATGAATTTGGACAAAACAAAAATAATGTTCAATGAACATGTCATTCCGGAGCCAATTGTTCTCAACGGGTCGCCTCTCGAAGTCGTTCAGGAATACATCTACCTAGGACAAACCCTGCAGTTTGGTAGGAACAGCTTCGAAAAGGAGGCCCGTAGAAGGATACAGCTTGGCTGGGCAGCATATAGAAAACTTAATCAAGTCTTCTCGTCTCAGATACCGCAAAGCCTGAAGACAAAAGTCTTCAACGAGTGCGTCCTTCCAGTAATGACATACGGAGCCGAGACGTGGACACTGACAGTGCGACTGGTCCACCAATTTAAGGTCGCGCAGCGAGCTATGGAGAGGGCTATGCTCGGAGTCTCTTTGAAGGATCGAATCCGAAACGAAGTGATCCGACAGAGAACCAAAGTTATCGACATAGCCCAAAGGATCAGTAAGCTGAAGTGGCAGTGGGCCGGTCACATTTGTCGAAGAACCGATAACCGTTGGGGTAAACGTGTTCTAGAGTGGAGACCGCGTCTGGGCAAACGCAGTGTAGGGCGCCCTCCAGCTAGGTGGAGTGACGACATCTGCAAGGTGGCTGGCAGTGGTTGGATGAGAAGAGCTGAAGACCGAGCTCAGTGGCGTGCCATAGGAGAGGCCTATGTCCAGCAGTGGACGAATACAGGCTGATGATGATGAT